GGCATCCTGGCTTTTTTAGAACGCTGTTAAACGCCGCAATGGTTTCACAGGGTTTTTGTCCGTTGACCTTTTTCCATACGCATTGCAAGCGAAGCATGATGTCATTAATTTTCAAAAATTCTGGTAAGACATACAGGTAACTTGCAAATGGTTGGCAAAAATGTGGCGGCTGATAATTTGCAAAAATAGAGGGGTTTTTTTATAAATAATTACATTGTACAAACTTATTTTTCATGAAACAATTTAATATTTTATATCAATGGAAGGTCTGTAAACGCATATACATTAATGAAAATCAAAACTTTTTTTCATTTTTTTCTAGGTAAAGGTTAAAACTAGAAAAACTGATTTAAATACAGTTGAAAATAGCCAAGATTTATTTTTTAAATGCTAAAAAAATAAAAAATTAGTTTATATTTCCAAAATATAAATTTAAAGAACTTTCAAATAATATAAGAATCTAGAAAATTGATCCACAAAAAGAGTTATTACAATTTAAAAATGCTGCTGCTATGTATGGTGGATGACTTTGTACGCTGACCGTTGCGTTGTAGGTAGCGACAACCATCCTATATCGTCATCATCTTTTCGTCTTGTCGCTAGCGACAACACGATTCAGCGCCAAGCGACGCGCGTTGTCGCACTGTCGGTTTGTCTCTAGCCAAACACGCCAAACGGCGTGTTTTCGTGTGGCGCGTTGTCGCGATGTCACCCTGTCGCTTGGCTTATAGGCCAAACATTCGATTTGAACCGAGCGACAACGTGACATCGCGACAACACGTTTGGTGTGCATCGTTAGCGACAGGGCGACAAGACGAAAGTCCAACATAGCGCTGTTTGGCGCTTTGTCGAGTGGTCGCTAGCACCAACACGATGCACAAAAGCGTTCCAAATTAGCCACCATAGCTATATGATGTACAAAATGTATATAAATATTGGCTCTTTTTGTCAATCAGTAAATCTACTAAATTTTAACAGCAGCTGCTTGTGATATCATCGGTCAATATTCAGAGCACCTCATTAATTATCCTTTATCATTGAAAATCTGATTAACACATCTTCTGGCCCTTTCCGTCAAACTTCGGATAAGGACCTCGGATAAGCAGAACGGATTGTGTCACTCCGGTACGGAATTAGACCCAGCCCGTTGTAGTCTAGAAAGTAGTTCTTTTAATTTTGAAATGGCCTATTTCAAGTCATCCCAATTGATACTGGTTATTTTAAGTTTATCTTCACTAATTGTGTACATGAAGTTTCATTTCTGAGTACTTTTAAGGTTGTTTTTGATGTATTTTTGCAGGATTTCATTTCTGGGTGGAAGGTTTCAGGAAGTACTATGCACAGGATTTTTTTTTAATATTCTAATTAAAAGCTGATAAAAAGCTCCAAGGGGCTTATTATCATTTTTGTGCTAAATTTACTTGGACTGCATTGGTGTTTAAAGAAATAGCCATGCAGTTCCTATACCGGATATGCTTTGTCCAGAATTTAGCCTTAAATGTGATCGATTTACTATAGGATATATTGAACGAGAATCCACTAGGACTTACTCAATCAGAATATCTCGGCTATAATCAATAATAATCTCGGACTAAATACGTTTTAAAAGAAATCCTACCACGTGGTTTTAGATGTTTACAATGTATAACAAAATTATACACTTAATATTAACATCCAAAGGATAATAATGTCTATTTCTGTAAAATTATAATTGAACATAATTTTCATACCTGACAATCTTAATCAATTTAAAAATGCTCACTGAAATACATTTATAACCAAATCCGAATATATATAGATTTGTGAAAAGGATAGTCTTAATGATGTTCTAAAAATGACAATAACTGCAAAAGGGCATCGGTAACATTATTTGTCTACGTTCTCGAGCAGGAAACTTAGAAAGAGGGTTTTTTTTGAGATTATTTATACTCGGCGCCGGAATTATTGTTTCATGCCAAATATCTAAGCTCTTGCTCTTAGTTTTTTCTTAAAGGAAGATTTTTAAGTTTTTTCTTTCGGTTGCCATGGCAACCAGAGTTCTGCATGGAATTAAATTCTGTAATTAATTTTAAAAGGTGTCTACCAAAGGAACAGTCCTAACATTCCTGTGAAGTTTGGATGAAATTGGCTCAGTGGTTTACTTGGAGATGTCGTTTAATGTAAAAGTTTACGGACGGACGAACGTATTGTGAGCACAAAGGCTCACCTTGTCACTATGTGACAGGTGAGCTAAAAAGTAACATTGATAGTAACATATCAATCAGTATATCAAAGTTAATTAAATATAAACAGTGGTATTACAATAAAATAGCCCTAAATAATTTATACAATAAACACGGCAAGCAAACTCACTGTGGGGAGAAATTTGCTTTAATAATTTTACTTTTATTACAAAATATAATTTCGAACTGATAATTAGACATAAATTAAAACTCCGACACAAATAAAAACTAACAAGTAAGTGTTATATATAAGGCCTAATAACAAGCAAAATTGTCACATCAGTATATAATAGTTCTACAGCTATCTCTTTAAACCTGACAGAAACAATATATTATTTAGAATATTAAAAATTCCAAAACAGCAGTGTTATTGACGCTGTTAAATATGAAGGGAGTAATTATGTTTGCTGTGTCTCACAAAGTACTGATAACCGCCTCCGTGGTCGAGTGGTTAGAGTCGATGACTTCTAATCCAGTTACCTCTCTGGCGTGGGTTCGATCCCCGGGAGATGCTTTGGTAGTTTAGCGCGGAGGAAGGTAGTCAAGTACTGGTGTAACTCTCCAGGAACGATGGTTAGGAAACTACCCGCCTATATGACTGAAATACTGTTGGAAAAAGGCGTAAAATGACACAAAGAAAAACAAAACAAAGTACTGATGTGTAATTTTCATAACTAAATAGGCTAGAGCCAGTGATAAGAAAGCACCGGACAGTGTTACCATGCTGCTATAAAATGAGCGACAACTTTTTTCAATTGTAGACTTTATGGAATTGCACTGGCATTCAAATTTATATACTTTCATTCAACATATTTTTTTTTTCATTTTATAAATCACCAACAATATCCACAACTATAAGAAGAAACAGTCCCGTATGGATGAAAATTTAACGCAATAGTGTCAACCTTTCATTGTTTAACTTTCCTTTTCATATATATAGTATCAGTTACAAGCCAATACAAAATAGAAGGTATCTTTTATTCATTTATATACATTTACATAATAATGTTTCTTTTTAGCAATAAATATGTGCGACACTTCTAGATGAGTGTTAGTTGTTGAGTTAAGGCCGATGTTGCAAGGACGGTGCAGTACTCTCTATTTCAGTCCCCCCAACACCCCATCCCAAACATAATGCTCAGTATAAAGCGCAATTACACAAGATTTTACGTAAAATCCAACATAGAAACCCTTAACCTGGTGGCAGTAATTGATTCTACCTACCTAAAATGAGGAAATTTCTTGTCAAGATTGAAATATGGACACTTCCATCAATGATTTTTAGCTGGTGTGGGCAAATATTTTTTGTATGACAGGCATGTGATCGAAGTTATCCTGAAAATTGTCCTCAAGAGTTCTACCTCTCGAACACACGTCAACGTACTATTAAATCTCTCCGACAAGCCATGTCAATATTGCACTGAAGGTTACCCAAGCAGATGCATACTGTAGGTTGCATTAAACATATATATAAGAGACAACCGGCAGATTTGTTTAAAGATAAGTTCACAGAATGTACAACGTGTAAATAACGTTCTTTCAATGGCATCATAGTTCTTTACATATACTAGTAACACTATATATATATACTTACGTTGTTAGTATTCGGCCATATTTACAAGCAAATTAAACACAACCCTCATTGAAAAGAAAAATACAAACTATATCTTGCTTGACCAGCACTTTTAAACTTGCTTCATCACTTTAAATTTTGATAATAGAACAATGTTTATTTCATTCATCTATTAAAAAACCCCACTCCATGCCCATTAGTAGTCAGCCAACCAGCATCAGGTGTAAAAGCACTCATTGAATGGCTTTCATGTACCCAACAACTTCAGATTAGGATATATTTTATAAATCTGTGAACAAAGAGTTATTAATTACTATTTTTCATAATCGCGATCACACTTGCGTAAGCTGAATCATTTATCTGGTACTAGGCCGTGACGTATTAAATAGCATCAGGTGGTGTGTGTATGTAAATATTTACTGGAAGTCCCTTTTACGAGCCGTAAACAACAACCTAAAACAAAATGTTTGGTTTTGCTTGATGATTGAGAAAACACACAAGATTCAATTTTCAATGAAAGCGGTTCACAACATGTAAGTAATGAACCGTAAAGATCAACCTCGTTTTTGGCTCATGACAAGAGAAGATATCAAAATACTCAATGTTTCAATGCAGGCGGTTCGAAAATAGACTTTGACAGTATATAAAGCTCTATCTGATGCTAATGAAAATCAGGTAAAACCAAAAGGGGCACAAACATGACCAATTTGTACAATCTGAGAAAGGAAATGACTGTATCGCTTTGCTCTAGTCTAAACGTGGCGAACTAGAATCTAAACTACGTGTAAAATATTAAGACATGGAACATGAAGAAACAAACAAGGATAATACCGACCAAGTTTGGCGAATGTCTAGTCTCTGTTTGTGATTAAATATTATTTTCGTTCTATAACAGTCAGTGTGAGGTAATGAAAGTAAATGATACACTGACGCAAAAAAAGAAAAATAATTACTTCTAAAAAATATAAGAAAATAGTTTGGGGAAGATTCATATGTTTGATTCTGTGATTAAATTAGACTAATCTTTATCGTTCCTAAATTGTCACTTTTTAACAAGGGTAGTCCATTGAACACATTTGAGAAACTAACGTGGATTTAAACTGAAATTTCATCAGTGCTTCCAGTGTGGTTGACTTAAACTGATGGCTGACAATATTATCCAAACCATAACATTAACATTGACTTAAACATGTCTGCCTTTGCTTTTAAGGAGTACAACTACCTTTCTTGAAATGTGCGTTTAAGTTAAACTTCTCTCTAAATCTTTTCTTACAAGAAGGACACTCGAAAGGATATTCACCAGTATGAATTCTTACATGTCTGGTCAAATCAGACGGTTTCATACACCTTTTACCACAATACTGACATATATGTCTTTTTAAAACCCATTTGTCCTTTTCCTTGCCATAATTTTCTTTCGTAAATGGTAAGAACTGTTCATCTGCACAAGAAGGAATAACAATTCTTTCATTGCCACTCAATGGTATTGGCGTCGGTCCAAAAGTGGATGGGCTTCCAAATGGAGACGGAACAGCCTTAGGCAAGGTTTGCGTAAATGAACCGGATTTTGATTGGTTGTTCTGAGATGTGGGCGTATCTTGAACAATATCACTTGTCATGACAGTTGGAGAAGTGCCAAAATCAAATGATGTAAGCATTGTTGTAAATGATGCCTGACTGGATAAATCATGAGTGGGCGTTAACTTAACATCTGTAGGTGTGGTTATAGGCTGATCCTGGTCTGTGATTGGTTGAAGGAATATCACTGGCTCTCTACTTGATGTAGGTGGGTATGGAATGAGCTGTACTGGCTGGTATTGCTGGGGTTTGTCCTCTGAAAAAATGCAAACAAAATACAAGGAATTAGCAAAGTCAGATATCATTGTTTAATATTATGTACTTAATACTACATGAAAAATAGAATACCTTGTCATGATAACCTCAGCAGCATAAACGTATTGCAATAAACCAAACCAATTAAGGACTGACGAATGCTGACTGAAACGTAATTTCAAATTAATTTATTCTAAATTAAATCATAATCATTTTTAGCCGCATCATTTTTATAATATATCTAGCTAATGAATTGAGGTTGGTTATTCCAAAATGGCAATAATTTCCATACTTATAGTCAATATTTCATTAATATTTTAAGCTGGCCTATGACGGAATGTATGCTAAATATTTTAGACCTAAATTAATTAAGTTACACAATAAATCATTCTTGATAAAGGAACCCTGGCGAGCATTGAGAACAAATATAAATAGTTGTAAATCACAGAGGTCTGTTCAAATGAGATGATTGAATGTGCACCTTCTCACATACCCCCTAAGCACAGACTCTTTAGCCGTAACCAATCCTTACAAATAAAAAGTACAGATGAAGAACGTGGGAAGTCCTATTACAGATTACAAACAGCACTTCATACATGGTTTTACATTTGCAATAAATAAAACAACACATCTGTATGTATATTCAGCATATTGAAAATTACATAAAAGAATTTATCCTAACTTTGCATGTTGTTCATATAATAATAGATATAAAATCAAAAACATCTTTAAGGAATTGTGGTTTGTGACCCCTAATTGTATTCGCTTAAAATGTTTCTGTTAGCATTTACAGATCATGAAGTTTTTTTTAAAAAAAAAATGTTTTGTTATTTTCAATCTGCTGTATGTATGTCTATATACTAACGTGAGCAATTACGCCTTTAGAATTAATTTACAAGTTTGTCCTTATAGAAAAATCTGTTGTATGTCTCAAATTTCGGATTCAAGAATAATATTTTCCATTTTTCGTTTAATAGATTTTCCATAATCTTAACTTGAAATTAATCATGACATTGCTCAATTACTCGTATTTTTCCATCTCATTGTAAATTTTTAATATAGGCTTTCATTTGTTGGTAAATGTTTAATGCCAGTAGTCAACTCATTATTTGTGGACTGTTTATTTTCCTTGACAAAGCAGTGTTTCTCATTTGTATTTAGATTACTTTTAATGTAAAGAAATCCCATTAAAACATTAAATAGTTTTACACGTTATAGTATTATTTTCTACAAGATATAGAATAATATATAATAATTTGTTATAAATGTGTACGTTATTATATCCCTACACAATTAGATATCATTATTATTCAAATTGTTTTTATTCATTCAAATAAATGCAAGTCCATCAAAGAATGCAATTATTCAGTAAAATGTTATCCTCATTCGGCAAAATTACATTCCTTTGACATTTATCATATTTTGTAATGATGTTTATTGCAATTCCAGAGTTATCCTTTCTATAATTAGCTTCGGACATTACATTGGAAAATGCAATGGTATATTACCAATTACTTTTAATATGACTTAATGTAATTCCAATTTTGTTACCAGTTAATTCTCAGCATTACCATTCAATATCAGTTACTGCTCAGTGGATTTGCAGTAAGCAAATACAGGTGAAAATGCAGCACACACAATACTTATCAAATGGAGATTTTCTCTTTTTTCCAATTTTTCAAAAATGAGTTCTTCTGTTAAGATTTTTACATGAAATCTATAAGGAAATGTAACATGAACATGTTAAGTCTAAAACGAAATTTCCGCAAAAATATCGTTGTTTATAATTTGACATTACTAGTAACCAAGGTAGAAAAACCATTTATGAGTGGTGCGGAAAAACACTAAATTATGCTTATTGATTTTTGTAAACTACTAGTCCAACGAGATTTCTGAATGAAATCAGAGGTGCGAGACTAATGGCCATTGTCATGAAAGAACAGAGACCAATGGATAACAAACTCGAGATTATCGGCGCTAATTTATTTAAAGAGAAGGTGGAACAGTGACTTGACTTAACAGATATAAAGTGTCCGTCTTTTAACACAGATAGAATACGCTTCTACTCTTGTACCTTGGCTCAAAACCAAAATTATCTTATGAATCCAGTACTGGTAACATGCAAGAACATGAGGAAACACACTCCATATAAACTGCAAAAATTAGTTTAGAACACCATGTAAAAAGTAAATCAAAACGGAAATAATATCAAAAGAAAATGATGGTCACCAGGTCGTGCACATGAAATTCTTCACTGAAGCAATAGATAATCCAGTCACGTTGGGGCATGCCTTTTATGACAACATTTCACTCTTCTTTTTTCACAGAGGCCATCTATTTAAGCACAGGGCATTGTAATTTCACAGAAGAAACTTAAATGTTTTTCATATATAAACCAAATTACCCCGGGTGGAAAAGAATTTGGGTCTAGGGCTTTTGTAGAAGCGGAAGAAATTTTTTCTAATAAGTCTGAGTGACCTTCCGCTCCTGACCATCTTAGACCATAGTTTGTTTGATTTTATGGCGAACCAACACAGTATAGGTCACATGTCGCCGAAACAAGAAAGATGATTTTGGCTAACCTTGGGTGTAATAAACTTCAAAGCAACACCAGTGGTCAAAACAACCTCGATTGCTGGAGCTAAGAGATGCATAGACTCTAGTTATTCAAACCCATTCAGTCGCCTCTTTTAATCACGCAAGGTTTAAAGGGTGGCTGAAATTATTTTGCCTCAACAATTTAATGCAATCGTTCGGCCACAAGGGACTCTAAGACCATAGGAACAGTATTTATATAGAAAAAACTTTAAAAAGATCCACAACGTTAAGCTACCTGCTAACAATTCAAGCTAGCTTGAGACATCGAAGTTTCACATACAATTTAAATGTGTTTTATATATTAGTCTATATTTACTGCTTTATATAAGTCTTGAATTTCATTCCTGCGAAGTGTTTGTGGTTTAGAAGTTAAATGACAAATTAGGACCCGGAAGGACTCCAGATACATTGCCATCATAAAAACATACATTCGAGCACTTTGTACTTACATGAGATAAAAATCAACCAACAGGAAAATAAAAGTCAAATTAACTCAATTAATTTAAATTTATTTCTATTTAAAAAATTACACATATAGAAAGCTGATGATTTGTAAGGTAAAAGAATATATTATGTCAAAATAGACTCCGCTAATGTTATATAAAGTCAAAAAAAAAATAATTATAACAAAAATCATGGAACATCACATCAGTTTTAGTGGTGGAGAAAATACTGATTTTTCTATGCCACAAATATACTAAATTGCGGTAACTTACAGGTAGAGACGTAGACCTACAGAGTCTACATTGTAAGATGTTTGATTTTCACGTTACAGAAATTCCTTTAAACTAAAATACATTAGGCCGTTTCTAATACAGCACAAATTCAAAACAAGAATGCTGCCTATATCGCCTGACTTTTTGTGATCTGCGTCAAAGAGAAAACCAATACTAAAGACAATCTTATGTTATCTTCCATTTTTTAAAAGCTTCATAATTTTCATGAAACAAAGTACAAATAGTGAAAAATCCATACACGAAATGTGAAACCAGTATTTTTTTTCTCGTAAATTGAAGCTTCCCAAATTTCACATTGTTCAAACACGTGCTTTCACCATGTTTTGCATTGGTTCTTTGTCCAACACATATCACATTATGTCGTGTGGTACACGCACTGTTTTGGCAAAGGTTAACAAACTAGGTAACGGCGGAACCATGTCCCCTTATTAAATATTGAACCAAGAAAATGTCTGTTCAAATATGGTTTAACTATATATATAGTCTTGAATATCTTAAAACAATTGAAAAAAAATTTAAACAGCAACAATTTTTTAAGAATTGATAAAAATGGAGAAGAATGCTTGAGAAATCAACGAAATAAATTTGTATCAAGTAACAAATATTGTAAAACGTAATGTATTATAAGAAGATACATATACTGATACGGTCTAATAATGCTTTTTACGATTTTATTCATACAAATTATTCAAACAAGAATATTACCTTAAAGGAGAATGTGGTAAGATGGTAAGAAGCAGATGAAACAGTTATTACTCATGAATTTGAAATATCAGCATTTTAAAAAACATTTATAGATTCTTGCACATTCACTCAAATGATGCACACTATTAAAGTTCAGAAAAAATATTGAATTATACTTACATGAGAATAGCACAGACAAGAAAAATGCAAGAAAATATTGAACTATTAAGACCATAACCCCGAAAAACCATAAAACGCACACATGAAAAACTGCATGCTGCTTCAAAGTTCACTGAATGATAGTAGGCAAAATGCATTCTTGTCATTAAGGTTTGTCAAATTAGAGGATGTTGGACCATGGACTGCAGAGAGTCAGGTTAAAAAAGTATTTTGTGAAGAATGGACAGATGAAACTGCAAACACAAACATATCATGCATCTTTAATTACTTATTGAAAATGGAGCAATACAGAACATTTCAATAAACAATCAGCAAAAGAGTATGAGGTCAACTTTGGAGATGGTTGGAGCAATTTGGCTCCAATATTTCCAAAACACCTAATGCTTGGTGGCCACATAACAAGTCAAGCATTTCTGCATACAACAAGGTCAACACCATAATTTTGTGTAAACTCATAGTCACAAAATCTGAAGGTTTGCCGTTTAAAAATATGAAATTTATACAGATGTAAAAAGATCTGTCACACGAACAAAGATATAAAAAGAATAGGAAATACATTTTAAAAACATCACATTTTTTTAATCTAATATCTATATTATCACTATTGCTAATTTTATTGTAAGATGTTTTACGTACATGTATTTCTTTGTAAATGTTTTCAATGTTGCATTAATATGTGATATTTTAATCTCATTATCAAAATTGGTCATAAATTGTCCAGTCTCATGAGCATAGTTAATTATCGGTTTCAAAAGATTACGTAAAGTTTTTTCTGTACTACTTCACTACTGATATTTTCTTTTCTTTCTTCTACTACTGTTTCTTATATCATCGTTCATCGACCTTCTGATATACTCAAAGTCTGTACAGTTTTCATCCCTCTCATAATATTTCCTCTTGACTTCATGCTACTAATGATTTTTTGTTCTTCTATGCAGTACAACATTGTGTTTCTGGCTGAACTTTTTCCGGCAAACTGGACAATAAAAGGGTTTTTCTCCCGTGTGAACTCGCATATGCCGATCTAGATCGCTCTTCTTCAGAAGGCGTTTTCCACAGATTGAACATATATGTCGCTTTAAAACAATCCTCGAATTACTTTTACCATAGAACTCCTTGTTAAACTGCACATGTTTCAATGGATTTATTGGTATGGATGGTGCCATAAATGCTGCAGGATCATTAACGTCACTTTGTACAACTTTAGCTTCATCACCATCCTCATCATAATCAATATTTGAATCGTAACTCTCCCATGATGCATTAGGATTGTCTGGTTCCCCTGCCATAGTTACATTTCCTGTACCGTCAGCACAACTACTGGCTCCTACCATTTGTATATCTGCGATACTTTGTCCATACAGATAGCCTGGAACCACTACTGGAACTCGGCTTGATAAAGAAGAAACATCTACAATACTGAAACTGCAGCTGCCAGCAGCTGGTGTAAAATTGGGGATGGTAGAAATAATTCCTTGCTGTGCAGATTCAATATCGTTGTCATCTCCAGTAAGATCTATGCTATCTGGTGGATCTATACTATCTGGTTCTTCTCTCTCTGGACCTAAAACATACAAATAAAATAATCAGCTACATATATATTCAGCAAAAATACATTCAGAAGTTTCTAACATTTATACACATGCAATACAATAAAATAATAAATATTCAATGAATAGTATCACAATTCATAAAAGTAAACTAATTTAAATTTTATTCAATATTGTTACATTTTTAAGATGTTTATTTTTTTTATTTTACATTATTTTATTTACTAAGAGGCAAAATATTTTAGAAAGGATATGCAAAAGTAAATTTGTAATATCTGATAAGCTCTGAAGTTTGAAATAGGTGGAGTAATATATACATTCTAAATACAGTCCAATTTTTTTTTTGTGGAATCAAAAATGGTCATTCAAATAAGGAAAGAGACCCATTCAAGACATTTTTCCAAAACATGTCATTATACTTATATCAAAATAATCTGATTATATAAATGATAACAAGTGATAGAAATTGTCACAAAACAAAATATCTATTTAGGTTGGTTAGCTTCTTAACAAGGATTCCATTAAATATAATCCAAATAATTCTGAATATTTAAATGTATTTCTCATTTAATTGCATGTTACTTTCCAATGAATTTAAAGATGTCACAAACGTAAAAACACCTTATATCAAAGGGACGACTCCAATAAGGTCCTTAAATGCCTATAAACATAGAATTTGAATTTCTTACATAGGTCAGTTGGGGTACTTAAAACAGAATCATCTGCAAAGGGTTATCAAGAAATATAACAAGAAATAAATTGAAAAGCCTATGTTCTATTCTTAGCCCAATTAGAGTAAAAAACAAAAGGCTTTTGCTTAATCTACAATTCAAAAAAAATATTCAGGAAAAAACAGAATTAGCGAATAAAATGAAATTTGCATATTTGTCTCAACTAACATCAAATGAAACATTTATCTCAAAAAAAAATATTACACAAAACATTTTGCTTGTTTGTTTGTTTGTTTCATTTTACGCCTTTTCCCAACAGTATTTCAGTCATATTGGCGGGTAGTTTCCTAACCATCGTTCCTGGAGAGTTACACCAGTACTAGACTACCTTCCTCAGTGCTAAACTACCAAAGCATCTCCCGACGATCGAACCCACACCAGAGAAGTAATTGGATTAGAAGTCATCGACTCTAACCCCTCGACCACGGAGGTGGTCCTTATTGTAACACGAAACATAACAGTGGAGTTCCTTTAAAAATGGTAGATGTCTTAGTCAAAAATGACATCCTTCAAATTTAACCATTACGACGATAAATTTCTTTCATACTTTATTTAATGATAAGATAAATTTTACCATAATTATAAGAAGATATATGTCCCAAAATTGTAATGGACAAGTATATCTCAGCAACAGTTCATTTAAAATATTCAGCACTGGTAAATGATTAACTTAGCCTCATAACATAAACATTATTATGAACAAGATCTGTCCGTTAGACAACAAGCTCATGAATGCAATTAATCTGTGCTTGACAGTTACAAACGAGGCATAACTCTGTAAAAAAGTTACTAATAGAGTTATGGGACAATTGTGCTCATCAGGGGAATGGGCGGTGAAGTTTCAACCCATTCCCTTCAATAGTTTTGGAGATATCAACTTGCACTTAATAAATACATTGTATACCAAAGTGCTACACCAAAGGACAGGTGAGTACAAATAAGCCCTATTCTCCCAACAGTTAATAAATCATTCTACAAACCTTTGTGTCATTTATAATTGAATAAGGAAGATTTCATTCACAAACACTATGAACTCTATTTTCATTTATTCAGCAAAATCTACCAATGTACAAAAATACAACTTAAGATGTGTTTTAAAAAATTACTACATGTGTATCACACTATTTACAAATACAATTGAATATGTCATAAAATGTATCATTCCTTAATTAATTCAAAGATTATAACCATAAAACAAAATTATAGTGTTATATATTTATATAATTAGAGATACATATTAAACAAACACATAAACAATGAACCATTGCAATGGTCATTTGATCAAATTTATATCATGTGTGTATGTGGGGGGTGTAGGTGGGGTGTGTGTGAAGGATGTTTAAATGTTTCACCAACACAGTATTCACTCAAGTCATATGGTACTTTTCCAGCTTTACCGGTGGAGGAAGACCTCGGGTGTCCTTCTGTGCATTATTTTAGGCACAAAAGGGCACCTTAGTAGAACCACTGACATTTAAAGTACTGTAGGCTAAGGATTGACATTTTTAAGAATATTAATGCTGGAGTATAAAGCATTAGAAAGAAAATTACTACATGTCTCAAAAAGATTGGTAGTTTAGTCACTTTGGACAAGTTAAATATGCCAAACTATTGCTCTAATAATGCATCATCTGTTCCCAATTATGACATTAAGCCATAGTTTAATAAGGTTAAGATTAACTAGTATAAAAGTCAATAAAACAGTCAAAGTTTTGCATATAGTGAAATAGCACACAGTCCTACAATTCCAAATCTAAAATTTTAGACACCTGTTGTAAACATATTCAACTATATACAATTCAAACAAGTCCTTAAAGAATATTACCTAATGCATTGCATTTGTTTTTCAAGATCTTTATAGAACAATTATTATAAACATGTACAAAGTCGTAGGGGTGGCAGAATATGGGAGTCAAATGTACAAGGTTTTACAAGGTTTATTTCAATAAGGGTTGCTCAAGGCTGACCAAATGAGAGTTGCATGCACAAGACTAGCTGACCTTATTATTCATGTTGGAAAAGAAGATTTTGTATTTTATTGTATAACTGATTACAGTCAAAAATATCAACATGTTTGTACCAGAATAAAGGCTAAGTGATTGTTAATTTTCTCATGATGCTTAAATAAGCTATTAACAAGTAGAATAAGTGTTGCAAAATTGCTATGGCAAACTGATTAAAATTTTATTATATCAAAGCATTATAAAATGGTAAAATATTGCTAAATATACAAAAAGACTGTCACATGTGTAAAATATAAAACAAAAACATACACTATAAAATGTATGTGTTACATTTAATTTTATTTCACCTGTTCCTTTAAGGACACATTTTAAATCTGATATAACTATTTTCAAGCACTTTTTTCTAAGAACATGATGTAAACAAGACAATGCTTTATGCAAAATATCTAAGCTCTAGGCCTTTTGAGTCTTTACAAGAAGATTTTTTAACATGCTGCGGTGGCATAAAAACATTTCCAATGTTAAGTCAGTATGTTTATATTTTTTACAGAAGCGTTTATATTATTGACAGCAATCTCAAAATATTTTCCTTCCATTTCCTTATGCACCACCATTTTATTAGTTATTTGAAAATTTTCTACAAATTGTTTCCTAATTTTTTAGATGCAAAATACAAGCTATTGGAAACCATTAAAGTCTACTCTCTTTTCAATACACAATCAGTCTAAATTATTTCTTAAAAATACTAGTACACAATCATTTTGAGTTGTTTGAAAACTTTCAAGTATTACAATTCTTTTAGATACACAATTATTTTAGGGAAATCTTCCAATTTCTTAAGATGCACACTCATTTCATTATTTATACAGCAAACCTTTAAAGTATTCCTTCTTTGACATGGACAACCATGTGTAATTTCAAAGAACACTTCCTGTTGAAGGCCTTTCCACAAATTTGGCAACTGAATGGTTTTTCTCCTGTGTGTATCATCATATGCCTTTTAAGGTCACTTTGCCTAAAGAACCATTTGTGACACACCTCACACTGAGCGCTTTTCCCTTTGGCTATCTCGTCTATGGCCATCAGCTCAAGATCATGCGCTGAATATTCTTTCCCAGATTCCTGCTCCATCAATTTCATTGCAAGGCTTGCCTTTTTCAAATGTTCATTTCTAAGCTCTTGGTTGCTAAAATGTATCCCCTTAACTGTTCTAACGTTGGTAATGCTTGGTGAGAAATTTTTACTGTCATTAAGCATTTGACCTTGATGTATAATGTTTGTATATGGCCCTTCTTGTACCCTATCCACTGACCTTGGAGAATTTTGACCTTTACTTGAGTCAAGGTCAGTCATTCTTTGTTGGTAGTATAAATTTCCCATTTCATCTTGGACAACTTCCCTTGCCTCCTGGTTGACAAATAGTCCTGTTACTGGAACAAAAGAAAAAAGAAAGTGGTAATTCGAAAATGTTCTGTTGGTTACAAAATTCAATTAAACAAAATTATTAAAATTTAGTTAATGATGCTACAGATGTTACAGAAGGGATATTTGATGGATGTTACAGAAGGGATATTTGATGGATGTTACAGAAGGGATATTTGATGGATGTTACAGAAGGGATATTTGATGGATGTTACAGAAGGGATATTTGATGCAAGCGCTTGCTAAAATAATGACAATGGAAAGTGAAAGCATTGAATTGTTTCTATTTTACATTGGTTAATTATTACACTATAGTAAGGCACTGCCTAATTAAAGTCTTATAGCAGAATTATTTCTGATTCTACAAAATATAATTCTCCATGTTTTGAAGATAGTCAAAATATTTTGACAGTACCTGAGGGCTAGATTCCGAGATATTTTTGTACTCCAGGGTCAGAATCTCCCTTCTTGAGGGGAGATATTGACCATACACGAAATATCTCAACACAATTAGTACAATTAGTTGGACACAAACCATTATTCCTTTTAGGGAATGTTTGAACTGTCAAAAGAGTTGATCCATTGATTTAAGGGGTAAGGCCAGTACAGAGCCCAATTTGTAATTGCCATTCTGTACATGTGTGCAGTGACACTGCACTGCATAAAACAAGGTGTCTATAAACTGCATTTTAAGCATTTTGATACCTATATCCCTCTCAGTAACAATAGACTGGTTCAATTTCAAAGCAACTTGACAAGCCCATTGTACAAATGATGGTTTTCTATTAATTAATAATAAATGCAAATATAAAAATACAAAATTAACATCTTTATTTATCTCAGGTCAAGAAATTGATAAAATGAGTATAGTTACAATATTTCAAGGCAGAGCAAGGC